TATAATAAGTGGAACCTATTGTTACTAATGAACGGGAAGGAAAAATCAAAAGTAATATTCGAGATCATATGGGTTGCATGGAATTACAGTATGTGAGGGTACTAAGATAACCTAAGTATTCATGCAAAAAGTGGTACAATGACCAGGAAAAGTAATTTCTTACATTTAAAGACAACTGAGAAGGCACGAAAGGAAATCTATGGCGCTAACATGTAACGACTCGGCTGGTCATTTCGAGAGTTAAAGCCCCGTTTCCCCATTTATTGCTTCTTTTGTGTTCTTCAGCTGAATTTTGTCTTACCGGGTTAGTTGGTTTGGGTTCGAAGTGGTTTTGGAGTAAATTGAGACACTTAGTTTCTTACAGGAAGGGTTAAGTTGAAAAAGTTGACCGAATGTTGACTTATTTATAAACGATCTCATATTTGATTTTTGATGGCTCTGTTAACTCTGGCAGGTGATTTTGGACTTAGGAGCGCGTTCAAAATGTGATTTGAAGGTCTATAGTAGGTTTAGACTTGAATTGGCAAAAGTTGGAATTTTGGCGATTTTGGTTGGAAGTGGAAATATGATATCGGGGCCGGATGAGATTTCCGGTAAGTTGGAATAGATTAATGGTGTCATTGTTGGCTTGTATGTGGAATTTGGAGTCAATAGGCTGTGATTTGATAGGTTCGACACTCTAAGTATTGATCTCTGCTCTTAGGAGTGCGGACCGCACAAATATGGTGCGGACCGTAGAGGTGAAATGCGGACGCAGCAAAATGTTGTGGACCGCAGTGAGGAGTGTGCGGCTGCAGTGGATTTATGCGGACCACAAAAGGAGGAGGACTCAGGACTGCGACCGTAGCAGGATTATGAGACTACAGTGCTGGCAGAGTGCGCCCGTAATGAAATTATTCAGACCGCACAGTAAAGGTTCAGAGAGCACTACATAAGCGAGGCTTAGGGTTTTATTTCACATCTTGGACTTTGGGAGCTCGGTGTGAGGCGATTGTTCGTGGGTTTTTCAAGAACTTCATTAGGGTAAGTGATTCTAACTCGGATTTGGCTAATATATATGAATATATCATTGATTTCATCCTTTGATTAGTGCTTTGAGATGAAAATTTAGGAAAAAATGTGGAGATTTTATCAAAATAAATTTTTGAGAATTGAAAGCCGATTCGAAGTCGGATTTGAGTGAAAGTATGGTTGGTCTCGTAATCTCATAGGTTGTCGAATTTTGAAACTTTGGTCAAACTTTGAGATGTGAGCCCGGGTCCCGACTTTTGAGTTGACTTTTGACCTAAAGTTTAGTATTTTCTTATAGGATTGATTCCTCTGGCTCATGTTGCTTATATCGAATTGTTTGTTGCTATATTCGAGGCATTCAGAGGCTGATTTGAGAGGCAAAATCATTCAGAGTAGGAGTTGCATGGTTTGAGGTAAGTAACGCTTTCAAACTTGGTTCTGAGGGTTCGAAACCCTGAACTATGTGTTATGTGATTAGTATTGGGGTGTAACGACCCGGCTGGTCATTTTGAGAAATTAAGATCCATTCAGCGGTGAAAGGTCTTGAACATCTTCATATTATGTGTATCGACTTGCGTGCAGGGTTGAATTTAGTTACAGGATGATTCAGAGTCGAATTGGGAGAAGGAATCTAGGTTTGGACGCTTAAGCGGTAAGAATTTGACCGGAATTGGACTTTTGAGTAAACAACCCAGGAATGGGTTTTGGATGGTCTCAACAGCTTCGTGTGGTGATTTTGGACTTAGGAACGCGTCCATATTTGGATTTGGAGATCGTAGAGTAAGTAGAGGCAAAACAGCGAAAGTTGGAAAAGTTGAAGTTTGGAAAATGGAGAAGTTTGACCCATGGTTGACTTTTGTGATATCACGGTCGGAATGTGATTTCGAGAGTTGGAGCAGCTCTGTATGTAATTTTGGACTTGTCTGCAAAGTTTGGCATCATTCTGGGTTGATTTGATAGGTTTCGACGCGAGTTCTAGAAGTTGGAAGATTTGGAAATTCATAAGCTCGATTCATAGCGTGATTTACATTTCTGGTGTTGTTTGATGTGATTTGAGACCTCGAGCCAGTCCGTGTTAGGTTATAGAACTTGTTTGTGTGCTTAGACGGGGTCCCGCAGGCCTGGGGTGTGATTCAGACGAGCTTCGAATATTTTGCATGGTTTTGAGCATGTCTGATTTCTAGTGTTTTCGCACCTGCGACCTTGGAGCGCAGGTGCTGCTCCACTTTTGCGTGAGCCTGACCGCTTCTGCGATCATGAAGGCTTGGGAGCTTTTGCGGAGGCTGGCACGTAGGTGTGAAGGCCGCTTCTGCAGTCCAGCTATCGCACCTGCAAAGAAATCTCTCTCCTGCGATTTCCCTTTCACTTCTACGGTGTCGCTGATGCGGCTGTATTTCCGCAGATGCAGTCCCTGGCTTGGTAAACTGAGTTCATAGATGCGGACTCTCTCTCGCAAATGCGGTCCCGCAGATGCGGAAGTCTTGGCAGAATCATATAAGTCAAGGGTTTGGCCATTTCTTCATATTTTGAGTTTTAAACTTCAGATTTAGGAGCTTCTTTTGTGGGGTTTTTAATCAAATCGATTGGGTAAGTGTTCTTCACCTAGATTCTAACATATTTCATAAATTTCATCATTTAATTTGTGTTTTAAGTTGAGAAAAATGTTGGTTTTTTGAAGAAAATTTTCAAAATAAAAATTCATGATTTGAGGGATGAAATAGTATCGAATTTTGATAATTTTTGTATGGTTGAACTCATATGGGAATGGGTATTCGGATTTTATAAAATTTGTCTGGTTCCGAGGTGCGATCCCCGGGGTCGACTTTTGGACCAATTTTTAGATTTTGTTAAAGACTGAGAGTCTATGATCCGGAATAGTTTCTTATGTGTCTTATTTGTGCTTTGAAGTTAATTTGGTTAGATTTGAGCCGTCCGGAGATCTTTTCACCCGAGAAGTGCATTGTAGAGTATCGGTTTGTCATCTTTGAGGTAAGTATATTTCCTAACCTTGTGTGGGGACTTCCCCTTAGGATTTGAGTCTTCTATGTTGATTGTAGTTCGTATACGCGAGGTGACGAGTACGTACTCAGAATTATTTGTGGAAAATTGGACTTTAGGGTTTTTAGGTCCTTATATTCACTATGTATTAAGTTATTCTTGATATGATTGAGTTTCCTATTTAATAGTTTCCCCTCTACATGCTTAATTGGATTAATTGCTTCATGAAGCACTCTTATTGCCTAATTGACTTGTTTTTGATTTAACTGAAGAATTTTGCCTCTCCTATTGTCATGCTATCCTTTTATGGCTGCTTGTCTTATTGAGAATGTATCATTACCCCTCCTGAAATTGTTTAGTCTTAAGTGAAAGCTAAGATCATCTTTCCTTAATTGAATTATCGAATATCCTCGTAAGTGTCCAACCTTAAAAGGAGTTAGATAACTTATATCTTTATTGACTTGCCTTTATTTGGGACTACTTGACTTGTGTTGATTTTCCTTGTTATTGACTTGTATATTGTTGGATCGTTGCTACATGTTAGTTTTCCCTTTGTTGAACTGTTCCCTTTATGCCAACATTCGTTTTTGTGGTTATTCCTTGTGAGCTGGTTCTTCCGTTTCTTTGTGATTTACAGTTCTTGAGTTGATTTACTTGTTGTACCTTGTATTATTGTCATTGTTGTTGTTGTACGTGTTGTGGTGATGTACGAGTTTTCTATCATGCGGTAATTGTTATCTCTTTGGTTGCGCTGCATATTTACTTTGGGACTACAGAACGGTATTTCGGGAGATCCCCCTACACATTTACGTTTGGGACTACGGGACGGTATCCAGGGAGATCCCATGTTCTGCATATTTACATTGGGACTACGGAACGGTATTCCAAGAGATCCCCCTGCTCTGCATATTTACTTTGGGACTATAGAACGGTATTCCGGGAGATCCCCCTGTACATTTATATTTGGGACTATGGGATGGTTTCCCGGGAGATCCCATGTTCTACATATTTACTTTGGGACTACAGAACAGTATTCTGAGAGACTCCCTTGTTCTGAATATTTACTTCGGGACTACAGAACGGTTTTCCGGGAGATCCCCTTGCACATTTATGTTTGGGACTATGGGACAGTATTCTAGGAGATCCCCTATCATTATCACTGTGTTTTGAGCTGTTGCTTTCATTGATCCTATCCCTGTGTAAACATTATATGTGATGTCTGTTCTTGTCCTTATACTTACTAGTTGGTATGAACTATGTTAGGACACTTGCATGAGCATACACGTGGCTAAGCACCCTTATCGGATATGAGGCTCCTTGATATTGCTGAGTATAGACGCACACCCTTGTTTATTTGCCTTCCATGTGAGAATGACTCTTTTAGGCACGTGAGTTGTCAGTATGAGTATGAGGTGTGTGAGAGCACATGATGCCAAGTGTTAGGGTTCAGGTACTGAGACCCGTATTCTCTGATTATGAGATAAGGTGTTACAGGGTGACTTATATTCGAAGGATATTTATTTGAAAAGGTTATATTCCAAAGGTATTCATTTTTAGAGAACTATTTTGGAAAAATATTTATGTGAAGGAAGTATATTTTGAAATGGTTTTATCAACTGAAGGATTTGACTAATTGATTGAAGTTTGTTGGTTATGACCTAATGTGAAAACTGTCGTAGTTGCTGAGTTATGATTTGTCCTTACTGTATTTGTGATTTTGAATTTGTGTTGTATTTCTGTTCACTTTTATGCGCTTTATTATGGTGTTCTGATGTTACTTGTTGTTTTCTTTCCTTATTATAGTTATTTTATTGTTAGCAATATCTCCTAGTCTTTATATAGATATCATATTCGGTTGTTTCCATACTTATACTTGTTTTGCTTATTAGACCAGTGGATTTCTTGACTTTTACTCATCACTACTCCACCGAGATTAGTCTTGATACTTACTGGACACCACTTTGATGTGCTCATACTACACTTCTGCATAGTTTTTATGCAGATCCAGGTATTGATCGTTAGTAGCTGAGTGGATTCTTGCCGAGGAGACTCAAGGTAAACCTGTTGTTGCGTTCGTAGGCTTCAGAGTCACCTTCCTATTTCGTATTCACACTGTTGTACTTATTTCCATACAGTTGTGTTTAGAAGTTGTAGCGACACTCTTAGAGCTTATGAGTTGTACCGCCGGTTATGAGCTTATGAGCATGTTTGGTACATTGGCTTAGGCGAGGTTGATTCCAGTTGCACCAGCTACTTCACAGACAGAGGGAGGGACTCAGACTCCTGCTGGCCGCACTCCAGAGCAGCGAGTTCCCGTTGGTCAGGTTCCAGGTGTCATGGCGACACGGCCTATGGTTCTAGTTTAGCCCATAGTCAGGGCAGCAACATCTGAGGGAGGGAAATTTAGATTTGCAAGGTTCAAGGAATATGACCCTCCTACATTCAGTGGTTTGGCTTCAGAGAGCGCACGAGGTTTCATAGAGGAGTGCCATCGCATTCTTCGCACTATGGGTATTGTTGAGGCGAGTGGAGTTGCTTTTACTACGTACCGGCTTCAGGGAGCAACTTATCAGTGGTGGCGGGCATATGTGTTGGGTAGCCCAGCCGATACAGCTTCACTTACATGGGGTCAGTTTTTAGAGATGTTCTTGAGAGAGTTTGCACCTCAGTCCCTTCGGGACGCATGGCACGTGGAGTTTGAGCAGCTGCGCTAGAGCACTAAGTCAATGTTAGAGTATGTCACCAGATTCAGTAATTTGGCCAGACATGCACCTGCCTTGGTCGCTACTATTAG